AAGTGCATCACAGTCCTCTGCCTGTGCTCCCAGCACCTGCCCACTGTTGCCTGGAAGTGGGACTGGAGAATGAGCACGACAAGAGGACAGGTTACAAAGGAACTGGGCTTTGTGTGCCCTGGGACAAGTCCAATGGTCAGGACTTGGAGGGGAAGTGTCCTGAGAAGAAACCTGGAATAACAAGGGAACTGTTAGGAATAGTGGACCCCAGAACAGGGGAAAGGGGATCAATGGGATTTGCTGCCTACTGCATCTGAAGGAGATAGTAGGGTTAGCAAGCCCCACCATCCCCGAGAGTGCTTCCAGCACTGAGGTTTCCCCACGAGAGTCCAAGCACAGTGGTTAGTCTCAAGAGGTCTGCAAACCGCAACACACCTTCCTAAGGAGGTTCCATCCTAGGTCAGACACCCAGCCCTGGGTACACAGGCATCTGGACACTAGTAGTGATTAGTGTGTGCCTTTCTGGCCATCTCTGCCCATCTTTTTCCTAGAAGCCTGGACAGGGAGCAGGAATCCAGGCTAGCATGCACTGAGCGTGCACTGTCCACAGCAACTTTGACAAATATTTGCCAAACCTGTCTACCTCTGTTTCACGCCTGGGACCTCCTGGTATGTAGGGTATATACATTCATGTCTGCCCTCTTGAGAAGCATTCGGTGGAGCAGATGATAAAAGAGGATCAGTTAGGGAAGAGGCCCTGATCCCAAGGACCCCTTCCTGGGCCACCATTTCTGTTCTTAGGACAGGACCTTTGATTCCTAGAAGAACCCCTAAAGTTCCCAGAACGGCTCCCAAAGTCTTCGGTCCCATTAGGATCTTGATCTCCTCATTACTCCAACAAATTTTACATCCCAAAGATCGTAAAAAGAGGAGGGCAGCATATTCTGGGGTCCCTACTGGGCTAGAGGAGAATCGTGCAGGGGGTCTTTCCCTAGCCTTGAGCCCCCCACCTCCAGCCGTCTGCCCTATCTGGCATAGCTACTAACAGAGTTGAACTCAACAAAGCTGAAAGGATTGGGCGAAAAGCAGGTGAAACAACCGCAACCCTCAGCGGGGCGGGACAGGGCGCGGAGGGTGCCGCTTCCAAGGGGCAATTAGGGGGTAGAGGAGGGAGGGAGAAAAGAGAAGAGGCGGAGGAGGGAGGATGAATGGGAGGCCATCAAGGGAAATGAAGGGTTTAGGGGGAGGAGAAGAGAAGAGAGATGGCGCGGGCGGCAGGGGTGGGGGGTTTTGGAGAATAAGTAGGAGAGGCCGGGAGACCCGGCCTGCTGGCGCGTTCCTCCCGATCTGTGGCTCGGCCCTTCAGCACGCGCGTGAGGGGCGGGGCGGTGGCCATTGAGTGGAGCTGCCATTGTGCCAGCGCTGCGAGTGGCGACACGCTCGAAGACCGCTCCCTGGTGACGCCTGAAAGCTCCTTTGACCGGCAGCTCACCTGCAGAGTCGGCTCTATAGAGCCTCTGAACGCGCAGCAGCTGCCAGGGGCCGCGGGCCGGGCACCTAGGGGGACAAAGAATGGGGGCCGGGCCCTTTGAATGAGAGGCCACTTGGAAGCAGCAGGCATGTGCCAAGCCGCAGACTAGGGAAGAAAAGTGCCCTTCGTGTGTCTCAGCAGTGAAGGGGACCCTTTCTCAGCCTCCGAGCCCTCATGTGCATGACAAAAGCGCCGGCGCGAAAGCTAGGCCTAAGCGAGCCCGCGGGGCTCTACTGCAGGCGTCCTGTATCCTAGGCGCTCCCTTCCCTTCACCCTGGGCCTCCATACCCTGGTAGGAAAACCGGGAAGAACCTGAGTCAGATCCATCTTGCTGAGCAGTCCTCGGTCTGACCCTCCAAGTTGGCGAGATCTAAAAGACCAATGTTTTCAGTTGCAAAGATTTGGGTTAAGTCTTTTGGGTCGGGCCAGGGGCCATATAGCTGCTATAGACCAACTCGAATAGGCATCTGCCATGGCTATCCAAAGTTTCTTGCATCGACCATCCCCTTAAGGACAATCCAAAACTTTGTTTTCACCCAGGACAGGGTCCTGCTTCCATCCTTGTCCGTTGCTCCCACTCACTGGCCTCATCCATCTCCAGGCAGTTGGAGTGAGCATATGAGTCTGCAGGAATCTCTCCTCCTCAGGTAATCCTTGACCATACCACACATCTTGCCTTGCCTTCTTGCCCGGTTTTATTTGCTATCATTGCTTTTGAGGAAGGTCTCCCACTCTGCCCTCACTTTGTGAGGCCTCTGTTGAGAGCAGTTGGGCCTCACTTGACCTCTCGATCACCTTTCCCAACATCTGGCTTCACAGGCTGGCTAGGGTAGGTACAAGCAAGGTACCTGCCTTTCATTCAGCTCTTATCTGAATGACTCCAATTTGGCCATTCCTAGAATTGTAAGGCTATGGCCCTAGAGGCCACCATATCCTTGTTTTCTCTTTCAAGACAGTGTTTCTCTGTGTAGTCCTGGCTGTCTTGGAACTCACCCTCTCGACCAGGCTATCCTGGACCTCAGGGATCTGCCTCTCTCTCTGTCTCTGAAGTACTAGGATTAAAGGGGTATGTCACCATGCCTTGTGATGTCCTTGTTTTTAAGACAAGACTTGTATTCAATTTGGTCTTCCTGTTGATGCTGACTACTCAACTAGAGATAACTAGAGAGGCCGCTGCTTTATTATTATTCGGGCTCAACCTCAGCCAAGCTAGTGTTGCCTTTTGTATTCAATTCTACTCCAGATGAAGTAGGCAAGGCTGTACACTTGCCTGTCAGCAGGCATACTGTGCACCAAACCTGTGTGCTGGAGCCCCAGGTCCCTTGGGGCCTACTGTCTGCAGGGATCAAAAGTCAGGTTCTGAGCTAAATCCATTGTGTGTGGCCTCCCAGTGCCTGCAGAGATGGGGTTGGGCTGCTGACAGGATTAAGCCGGATTACATGGTCCCCAGTGGGCTGATGCCTCTCTGCATTGGCTGGCCCAGACTGCTGAGGTTTAGAGTATAGGAAGCAGGAGAAGGCGAATGTGTGTAACCCATTGGCCCTTGCTTTTCTGCACACCATAACTCCCTGCCCAGGTCCAAGAAACGGAGAGGCGGGCAGGGCTCTAAGGGCCACATTGTACCTAACTGACTAAACTTTTTCTTTATCCCTTTGCACTTACGGTCTCGCTTTGTAGCTTAGGTTGGCTTACAACTCATGATCCTCCCGAGTTCTGGGAGCATTGGCAAGGATCACATTTGGCCTTCTTTGTAAGCTTTCTACTTATAAAGTGCATTGCACAGCCAAGCATGGTAGTGCACCTAGGCTGAGACAGCAGGACAGCCTCAAGGTCAAGGCCAGTGTGGGCTATATAGCAATTATCGGACCAGCCTGGGCTATATAGCAATTATCGGACCAGCCTGGCTATATAGCAATTATCAGACCAGCCTGGGCTGTATAGCAAGACTGTTGTCATAAAACAGCAAAGAAATCAAGGTGTGTTCCTCTCCATTACATGGCCAGTACCTTCACAGGGGAGACTATGTAACATCCATAATACTCATCTAACTCCTTAAATCCTGGTATAACTGACATTTGGACAGAACCTAGCTAATGTTGGGCCTAGGGTTTGCCTTTGTGACCAAGTCAGTGCAAGACTTGGGACACAGAGAGGCCCAGTAGGTACAGGGGTCCAAACTGGATACTACTTCCAACTCCAGTCACACAGACTGGGCTGAACCTGAAACCTGAAACCTGCACTTGTTTCCTGCCAATCATGCTCAGGCCTAACTTACGTGGACCGCCCATTCTGTGCAGGGCTCCCAGGCAGCCCCAACTTCTCTGCACATAATATCCACTTGGGGCTGTCGATTAGGGAAGAAAGTGTGCTTTCCTGAGGATGGAGAATGAAGCAGAGTCCATGCCACAGGGTTGGAAATGACCAGAGTGAAGGTTGTTTTTGTTTAAACTATGGGTCTGACATAGGAGAGGCTTTGCACACGTGCTACAATGTAGTATTTGCTGATTCCAGTTTCCCTGGACTTTAGGAAATTCCAGTAATGAGATTCCTACAGTCCAATGAGTACACTTGAAAAGAGAAAAAAAAATGGACACTTTATTTTCTAACTCTGTTAAGCTGCTGGATCCTCTAAACTGGCTGTGGTTTAGAAACACAGCAGAGCAAAGCCACCTGCTTCCAGACCTGAAAGGCATAGGGGGCATGTTGCATTTGCCCAAGTAGAATTAGGGTGGCAAGTGTCTTCCGAGGCCTTTGGGCAGGGCTGAGCAAGCAGATGCCACCTCTGGATATGAACAGCCAGGAACTAAATAAAGTAGGCCAGCACCGAATGGGGCAGGACGGAGAACTAGGCTGAGGTCTGATTTAAGTTTCAAGCTTGGAATCCTGGGTCCCCTCCCACTTAATAGTCTGCTAGGGGTCTTTCTGCTAGAGGCAATGCATGGTCGCCATCCCTGCAAGGATACGCTGAGGCTCTGGGGACAAAAGAGATCAATTCCGGGGTCTCCCAGCAGCCAAGTGACGCCGCGGTCCTTGAAACGATTTTCACAGCCGGGAAAGCCAATTGTATTTTCCAGCTCATTAAGCGGCGCACAAAGAGTCTGGCGGCCGGCGGCTCGGATTCCCCAGGTCCCACCCCGCCGGAGACCGCCGTGCTTTGTCCGCGCAGTGTACCGCCTGTTTATCCAGGCCCTTTGAACACAGCCCTGCGCGGCGGGGCCGCCTGGGAGAATCCTACTGGACCCGGAACAATGCGCGTACAGCCGCCGGGCAGTGATTAAAGGGGCCGGACGTTCACAACATCTGGCCGCCGCTGGGGGCGCGGCCGTCCGCGCCTCGGGACGCCAGCGAGAAAGCAGGGTGCAGTGGCCACCAGGGACTCTCTCTCTCTCTCTCTCTCTCTCTCTCTCTCTCTCTCTCTCTCTCTCTCTCCCTCCCTCCCTCCCTCCCTCCCTCCCTCCCCCTCTCTCTCTCTGTCTCTCTCTCTCTCTCTACAGCTGGAAGTGGAGCCAGGATCTTAGTGCGTGCTGGCTGGTGGAGCTAGCTGTGGCAGGCAGCTGTTCACCCCCTTTACCACCTCCGTGTAATTTAGCAGGGTTGGCGGGCGGGAGGTGGGGGAGAGATCAGGCGCCTGAAGACAGGATGGGCTGGGGAGCTCCCTTGATAGTGTTGACAGTGAGAAGGATGAATGGAGGAATGGCGATCTCTAACCCCTTCTCACCCCATTCTGAGCTGACCTAAGGGCACCTCTCACCCACATGTTGGTGAGGCAAGGGAAGGACCCACGGACATGAAGAGACCAAGATATCTCCATCTCAAGAGGCCTGCTCCCATCCTCACTTCTCAAGATACCTAGCTGACCACCAGCACCCTTAACGCACAGGACCAACCAACCTCTACCAGGATTGCACCTCCCCTGACCTGCAGCCTGAGAGATCTCATACCCATCTGGCTACAGCTTTTGATGTCCAGCACACCTGGATGCACAGTACTGTCTGTGTGCAATGGTGGAAGGTTTAAGGTAGTCCTTTGTGGTCCCCATGGTCTTGCTCCTGAGATTCTAGGAGTCAGGAGTAGGATAGAGTTAAGCCCAGGCTGGGAGCTATTGACTGTGAGAACTTTGGGAGTTTAGGAATGGGAGGAGCTGTGCTGTCTGTCACATGGCGAGGTGCATGCTCCTCCTTCCAGTCTCTGAAAGGCAACACTGCTTCTCTGTAGGCTAGGGATCTCTTCTTGGGACTTCTCTCTAGGGATGTCCTAGGCTGTTGCCCTAGTCCCAGGCCCTCCAGAGTTAGGGGTGCAGGGTTGTTACCTATTAAGACCACAAATATGTTCTTGCTTCCGTTTTTCAAGCACTGATCACAATTTTCTTTTTCAGTGCCTCAAAAAAACAACTTCTCTTTGGGTTTACAGACCCAAGAATAATCCTGACTTTCTTTTTATTGTTGTTGTTGTTTGTTTGTTTGTTTGTTCTTGTTGTTGTTTTGCAGCACCTGTGTATCAGGGCTGACCAACAAAAGTTAAACTATCTGAAGATATCCAGAGTAGACAGGAGCCCAGCTGGCCTTATTGTGAAGTATTATTTCAACTCTGTAAAGATGTGTTACATTTGTTTATGCTTCAGAATTTAACTGTAAAGGTGAGTTACATTTGTTTCTGCTGACCTTGTTAATATGTGTTACATTTATTTAATTACCCAAAGATGTGTTTCTGTTTCACCTTGTCTGCCTAAGGCCCCTAATAGGTCTAATAAAAGCAGAACAGCCAATAGCTAGGCCAAAGAGGGATAGGCTGGGCTGGTGGGCAGAGGGAATAAGTAGGAGAAGAAAAAGAGAAAAGGAGAGAATGATGGAAAAAGAGAGGGTCATACCTGGGCCAGAAGCCAGGCAGTCACCAGCCAGCCATCAAGACCGCAGGAAAGGGCTGGAGAGATGGCTCAGAGGTTAAGAGCATTGCCTGCACTTCCAAAGATCCTGAGTTCAATTCCCAGCAACCACATGGTGGCTCACAACCATCTGTAATGAGGTCTGGTGCCCTCTTCTGGCCTGCAGGCATACATGCAGAAAGAATATTGTATACTAAATAAATAGATAGATAGATAGATAGATAGATAAGTATATATTAAAAAAAGACCGCAGGAAAGTAAGACATACAAAAAGAAAAAAAGGTAAGAAGCCTGTGGTGGACCTCTCGACCGGCGAGGATGAACGACCACCACATCAGGATTCCACTCAGATCACGCTTTACTGGAGTACCCTTGATTGATGGGGAGCAGGAAACGAGGGGGGCAGGAGAACAAGGGGCAAGAAGGGAAGGGCAGGGAGAGCATGAAGCGAAGGGAGGAAGGGCTCTTAGGCAGATGCTTAAATAGGGAACTGGCAAACGGGTTGCCCTGTGATTGGCTGCCACCAACAGCTGACACCAGACCGTATCGGGATAGGCTCAAGGATCCTCATCCACCGCGCATGCGGGAAGCGGGGGACGCGCAGCTCTCAAAGGCATAGCCAAATATGGAGTTATTTATTTCCAACAAGACAGGATGTCATCGCCATCTTGTAATGGCAATCCTGTCCGGCTCACTACAGAAGCCCTGAGGCAAAACGTAAATGAAGAGAAACAGGTTAGGTTATAAAATGAAAGCTAGCAAGAAACAAGCATAAAATAAGGCCAAGCATCCATAACTAATATTAAGTCTTTGAGTCATGATTTGGGAGCTGGTTGGTGGCCCAAAAGAAAAAGCCTGCTACACTGGCCCATGGTGGAATGGAGGCTAGGCCGGGCAGATGGACACACAGACTGGCCTTCACAGAAGGTAGAGCCACAGGGCACAAGAAAAACTGCCCAAGCTGCAACACTTAGATATCTGGGGAGGTCAACCATCCCATCCTAAAGCTTATGGGGACTCATCACACCTGCTGAGCTGGCATTGTGCGATCCACCCCTCATGCTACCCCCAATGCCCACACTGGGAAGATGGAAACAAATGTCTATTTGCACCAAGAAAGGGGTCACAGACAGATCTAAGGAACTATTCCAATCTAGAGTCTTATGAATAGGGCTGTAAAGGGTTACTTACAGGAATGTGGGTGAGTCAGAGAGTCGCATGACTGAAAAGCCCACCCCAGTATAGATGAGAATGCAACAAAAGTTGCATTTCGGGAGCTCTCTGCTCAACTCGCAGGCAGCTCTGACCCTTGAAGAGTTTCCTGTCCCAGTGAGTATTGCTGTTAATATGGCCCTGAGACCTGTGGCCACACTGACTAAATCCCCTTTGCTCTGCCCTTCACTCCTACTTGTCTCTTGGCCTGTTGGAGATGAGTGCTCACATACAGTGTGTTGGGGCTCCCAGAACCCCGGTTTTGACCCTAAAAAGGCTCATTTACCAAATCTGTGACACTACTGGGAGGTTGTATGCTCTGAGTAGGAGACGGGTAAGGGTGGAGGTGTGTCCTTGTGTTGATGGGGGACAGACCACCAAAGTTTATTAAACCAGAAAAAAAAAATCACCATGGGGAACACAAAGCTTATCAGCTACAGCTGTGACTACAGCCGGAGATCGGGCTTCTGGAGCTGTGGCCATGGGGGCTGGATTTGAGCCTCCTCTTACAGCAAAATCAAGCACCAGGTCAAAGAGATTTTACAACCTTGAAGTCAGGCTTAAAGTCACATTACGTTTCAAGTTTTCCCAACTTTGAGTTATAGGATGTTAACTTAGGATGCTCGCAAAAGCCTGTAATGGGCACAGCTGCTTTTCACTGTCCCTGAAAGAATGCAAGGCAGAGAGTAGCACATCCAGGGACAGTTGAAAATGAAGGGAATACAAGCAGAGGGTCCCATAGAGACAGTACTTAGAAGCTAACCTTTGTCCCTGTACCTGCCTAGCTGGGAAGCTGGGAGGCAGGAGACAGATGTTAAAAGTTTACCTCTGTCCACATGGCTGCCAGGATGTCTGCTCTTAAGGCAGAAGGTGTTTGTTAAAGGTTAACAGTGGCTGCCAGCTTTATTTTTTTATTTTTTTTCCAAAATGTGTTTGGGTTCACAACTTTATATTTCTACACTCCTAGACCAGACCCTTTCTTTCTATGTTTTATTCCTGGACTCTTCGTTTGAAGAAGGCGTCTTGTCTCTGATCCCATCCCCTTTGCTTCCAGCTGCCACTGAATGAAGAGCCTTGCTCCACCACAGGCTCCCTCCCACGAGGTTCTGACAGGTTCGGAAACAACAGGACCAGGTGACCGTGGACTGAACTGTTGGAAGCCCTAGCTTAGGTATTTTCTGCTAGTGTCAGAAAGCTGAGTAAGTTCGCAGGAAAGAGGTCTTCCCACAATGCTCCCCAAGTCTAGTGGGGTCAAGCGGTTATGAGCAAAATGCACAGAGGACCTGGCCTCAGAGAACTGACCCTGGCCAAGCACTGTGGCAGCCCCGCCTGAGAAATCTTAAAAGGCAGACCTGAAAGGACCAGCATGCTTCCAAATGATGCGACTGCCCCAGAATAGAACTCAAGAACACAGAGCTGGTTGTGTGGCACACGCATTGGATTCCCAACACAGAAATGGGGGTGGGGTGGTCTGGCAGCTCAAGACCAGCCTGGTCTACATATCAAGTTCCAGGCCAACTGAAGTGGTTTGAATAAGGATGGCCCCCACAGGCTCATATATTTTAATGCGTAGTCATAAGGAGGTGGCACTACTTGAGAAGGAGCAGGAGGTGTGGTGCTGTTGGAGGAGGTATGTCACTGGGGGTGGATTTTGAGGTTTCCAAAGCCAATGCCAGGCCCAGTCTCTCTGTCTCTGTCTCTTTCTCTCTGCCTACAGTTCAGGATGTAGCTCTTAGCTACTTCTCCAGCACCATGCCTGCCTGCTGCCATGCTCCCTGCCATGATGATAATGAACCAAAGCCCCCGAAACTGCAAGCCAGTCCTCAATTAAATGCTTTCCTGTATAGGAGTTCCTTTGACTATAGTCTCTTCTCAGCAATGGAACAGTGACTAATACACCAGTCAAGACGACACAGAGACCTTTATCTCGAACAAACGAACAAAAGAGGATACAGACTAGACCTGAGAGCACAATGTGAAGGCTGATGCTGCCCACTGTGACATTTACTGTGTGCATTTACTTTTTGCCTGTAGAATGTGTTTAAAGCATGAAAAAAGCAAAAAAAATTAAGCATTTTATAAAATAAACTGTGAAAAAAGAGAATGAATTGGGGATGGCAATATGGCTCAATTGGTAAAGGCACTTTACCTTGAAAGTCTCACAACCAAAATTTGATCCCTGGAATGTGTATAAAGGTGGGAACTGTCTCCACAAACTTGTCCTCTGACCTCCACCTCTGTGCTCTGGCAAATGCATGTGCTCAATCATACAACAGTAGCAAGCTAAGCTGTTTTTTGTAAATGAGAAACTGGACAAGGTGGTTATGTCTTTAATCCAAGAACTCAGGAGGCAAAGGCAGGTGGATCTCTATGAATTTAAGGCCAGCACAGTCTACATAAAGAGATCTTGTCTCAAAAAACCAAAGAATGCGCTAGTGGCACAATTGTTAGGAATAATCAATAATCAATCATGTTTTGATTGGACTAAAGTCTACTCTATCAGAAGGAACCTACATATGATAGTGCTAAAGTGGCCAAGTACCCGAGCCTGGATGAATCATATGCCTAACAGGAAACCCACTATTATTTTTCTGCTAAAGAAACATACAACAGAGGTTGGAAAGATGGCTCAGTGATTAAGAACACTGACTGCTCTTCCAGAGGACCTGGGTTCAATTCCCAGCACCCACATGGAAGCTCACAACTGTCTTTAACGTCAAGATCTGACATCCTCACCCAGACATACATGCAGGCAAAACACCAATGCACATAAAATAATTTTTTAAAGGAACATACAACAAAACAATTCCTAATGACATATTACTACACCTATACAGCAGCGCATCACTCAACCCGCATCAGATCAGTTTCCTCTTCCAGTGGATGTTAATTAACAAGGAGGTCTAAAGTTAGACGATGTGCAGAGAGAGCTTTTGGAGCACTGAGCCTTAAATAGGATGTCTCTATCAAATCCCTCCTCTCACGGCTCATGGAGCTAAACAGAAGAGCCAGGCGTGCTGGATGACTCCGAGGAACCAGGGTCTTCTAGACACCACCAGACTGATATGAATATGAGCTCAAGGAGACTCTGACAGCAAGCACAAGACCTGTACAGATTCAGATCAGACAAAATCCGAGCACTGAAAATGGGTAGATGAACACAAACTCTTGTCTAGCCAAGAAGCTATTTGCAATTGATGCTTGCTGGGAATAGGAATGTTAACTTTCTCCAATGGAGTATATATAACTGGATTTATCTACCACACTCCAGGCCAGGCCTCATGCCCGGGAGTAGTTGGTTGGTCAATGCAAAGTAGACTCCACGATTTTTGTGGTATTTTTGTTTTGTTTTGGCCTTTTTTTCTCTTACTGATTTTCTTTTTTTAATTTTGTTTTTGCTACTCTGTTGCTTTTCCTGTTTTTTTTTTTTGCGGGGAGGGGGAGAGAACATGAAGTTAGGTGGGAAGGGAGGTTGGGAGGAGCTGGGAGGAGTTGGAATATGATCAAGTGCATTATACGAAAAACTAGGAAATAAATAACAAATATAAATAGTAAATGCTGCTTTTGTGCTCTAGGATATTAATCAGACTTGATTTCCTAAACCAATCTCCTATATATTCTAAAAACCAAGCCCGGTTTTCTTCCTTCGGAAAGAGGCTGCTCCGCTAGTGTGCTCTGCAGCGTGGGAGAAAAGCGCTGAGGTTTGGGGGACAAGAATCACCAGGATTGAGGAACTCTGTATGGCCTCAGTTCCACCTTTCTCGGGCACAGAGAATCCTCAGCTGATGCCTTCGAAAGCGATGGGGAGGTTCCCACCCTGCTTGTCCCGTTCAGGGGAAAACTGCATCACTAGAGACCGTCTCCGGTGGCCTTTCGAATCTGCATCGGCAGTTTAGCCAGGCAAATACAAGACACCGGAAGACTACAATGCACCCAGTGTCCAGTTGAGAACTCCAGGCTTTGAGCAGCTGAGGCGTTTGCATCCTGAGCTCCATCTTAGCTGCATCTAAGGCTAGTAAGAGGTCTGGCTCCACCACGTTCCCTTGGGCTCTGCCTTCAGGATCCAAGACATTTCTCTCCAGCCGGTTACTGGCCCAAACTGGCACGCAAATGCAGCCCTCGAAGTTTCTAATGGCTCGGATAATGTTTGGAAGCCCCAGAAGCCCAAAGAAAGACCCGAGACTAAAACACCACAACTCGGCCTCAAGGGATCAGAAAACAGAGTCTTGTTGGTCACATTCGAACCCCAGAGTACAGAGAGAACGCTATGACTAAAATAGTCCTGAGCCAAGTTTCTCAGCAAGAAAAGGAGCCGGTCAGCCCCATTACACGCCACTGTGGGAGGCGCGAGCCCGAAGCTCCGCTCTGCCTAAGCACTTAGGTTTGAAATCCGAGCAAGGTCAAGAACTGCTGCCTAGACAGGTGGCTGCACCATATACGCCCACGCGCTCTCCAGTCCTCAGCTGAGGCCATCTCTTCATCGGTGCCTGGGTTCCCCCTCAGCCTTTCCCGCAGGAGGAGCTCGGTAACCGCCCCCACAGACGGCAGTAGGTTCCGAAAGCCCGATATGGGGGCGACGATGCCACCTCAGGTCTCGGGGCACTCGGTTCCCAGGCAGCGGCCACGCCCCTCCCTGTCGGTCCCGCCCCCGAAAGCAGTGAGTCCAACCCGCACTGAGGCCCGCACATCGACTGGAACGACCATTGGGTAGCGGCGCATGAAAGCGGCGCCACCTTTTTATAGAGTGCAGAGTGGGCCCGAGAACCACCCAGCCCAGGGTCCTGGCAAAACAAACCGTCGCTGCGTCCCGCGAGTACCAGCCGGGCGGCTAGCCCTGCACCCGCCATCCCATGCATGGCCCGGGCGACACTCGACATGAACATGGAGGGGCTCGGAGCACGCGGAGGGGGCCACATAGGGCACGGACCACTCCCTTTCAGCGTCGAGTCACTACTGGAGGCTGAGCGCGAACGGGGCTCCGAGCCTGGGGAGCTGGGGGAGGAGAGGCCGCCGGGTGCCTCGAAGCCCGGAGCCTGGCCCCCACCGGTCACGCACACGTGCCCCCCACGTAAGTGCTCAGTGTCCGGGTCCCAGGCCCTGAAAAGCGCGCGCGCATTCAAGGCAAGGAAGTCCAGGGGGCGATGCGCGCTGTGGCCCCGAACTTAATTACTAGTCACTAACCCGTCCAACCCAAGTGCAAACTGGTGATGGGTTAACTAGTGATGGGAGCCCGACGTTGTGCACAGGCCCAACAGCCACGTCCACGTCTCTTCCTGGGCGAGGTCCGCAGCCCAGGACAGACACCCCTAATGCTTTTCCACTCCGGGTCGCTCACGCTTCTGCACCCCTTACCCACTTTGCATATACTAGCGACAGCTAACTAGTCTCCATATAGCCCTAACTCTATTCATCCTCAGTTAATTGCAGCCGCCTCCCGCCCCAGCTTTTTTCCTAGTGGCCAGTCTCCGGTTGAAAGAGGTCACCGGTTGAGAGAGCAGACCGGAGTCTAGAGCGCCCACTAGACCCCCCACTTCCCTTCCCCCTTGCTTTGCTTATCCACGTGGCTTTGGAGACCTTGTTACGCTGAGCGGAGTGGTCACGGAGCCACAGAGCACCAACCTCCTTGGTAGAGGGCGGGACAGTGTCGGGATAGGGGTGTGCAGCCAGGGTTTGAGCGCTCGCTCTCTGCTTCTCTTTCCTTTCAGGTGTCCCCAGCCCTCCACCCTGCACCCTTCGCAAACACAAAAACAACCGCAAGCCACGGACGCCCTTCACCACCGCGCAGCTGCTGGCGCTTGAGCGCAAGTTTCACCAGAAGCAGTACTTGTCCATTGCTGAGCGCGCCGAGTTCTCCAGCAGCTTGAGCCTCACTGAGACTCAGGTCAAGATCTGGTTTCAGAACCGCCGAGCCAAGGCCAAGCGGCTGCAGGAGGCTGAGCTGGAGAAGCTGAAGCTGGCAGCCAAGCCGGTACTGCCCGCGTTTGGCCTGCCGTTTCCGCTGGGCACCCAGCTGCACAGTTCCGCGGCTGCAATCGGCGGAGGTGCGGTTCCCGGGATCCTCGCGGGGCCTGTTGCGGCTTATGGCATGTACTATCTGTCTTAGCCCATGGAACCAAGTCCTATTCTCTTGGGCTCAGATCTGTGCCACAACGCAGCCCGCTGCTGATGCTCCTGGTGATTTCTGAACTTTAGGTATCCCTTTTATTTTGGTTTTTCGTTTTTTACCGCTCATACCGTTCATGTTATATTTGATGACTGGAGCCTATCTGTAGGCATCTTACAAATACTTTAAACCTTCCTAAAATCATGGTCACGCTAGTCTGTTTTCTGAAAGACAGTGAACACAGCTTCATACAGTCCCTGACATGGACAAAAGTAGATCTCCCTACTTCGTACAAAACTGCACCGAAGACTTTAGAGGCTCTTTTGGACTGGCATAAAAAATTCCATAAAAAATTAAAATAAAAATGATACGGTAGGACTGCTAGAAAAAAAAAACTTAGAAATTATTCTCACTCTAACTAAATGTGG